GCACTATTTTTTAAAAAATAATCAGTGTTTGATAATCCTAATATCTGAAAACTTTGTAATCTTTTTGCTATTATTTTCTCTTTATCCTTACTCTTATTGCTCTCTCACACATCTGATTATATTTAATTGTGTGCTGATCACTGCCTTGAAAAATTATTCCTGAGAATTTCCTGGAGCTAAGAAAGGCAATGCCTTCCTCCAGAGAGAAGCTACATTTGTCTCCGCCATCTACCTTGTAGTATCACCCATTCCAAAACCATTTTAAACTAGGGATTCCTTGGATGACTCAATAATGCAAATTTGAACTGAAAATCCATGTGAAAGTCTTCACCATGGTCAAGCTATCTGAAAGATAGATAGGTTTTGTTTTCTTTTGTTTCTGCTCTGCTCAGCACCAAGGCAACTCTCCCCATGGTGCCCTACATGGGGAAGGGGAAACAATTTTCCTTCTGATTTACAGTTATTCTCAGGCTGTAGCCGGTGGAGGAGGATTTCCTTTCATCTCCCTACCACAGACAAGGTTTTGATTTGTTTCAGCTTTATCTTCTTCTCACCCCACAAGCTATTAAAACTTCACTTGATTTTTGATTTGGCTTTGATTTCTCTTTCTCTCCCCACAAAGCTATCAAAACTCAATTTTGTCAGAATTTGGCCTCAGACAAAAGTAGATGCTACGCTATGCTTACTTTTCTGGTTTCTTGCTTTTTCTTAGCTTTTGGCTTAGAAATATCATTAATATTCACTAATTTCTTATTTTCAAAATAAACAATAAAATATTCTTATTCAATCCAGCAATTCTACTTCTGGGTATATGTCCAAAATATTAAAAGCAAGGACTCAAACAAAAAGAAAAAAAAAAAGGATTCAAAACAGATATTTGTATACTCATGTTCAAAGCAGCATTATTCACAATAGCCAAAAGGTGGCTATTCATATATTCACCCAGGGATCAATGAATAAACAAAATGTGGTCTCTACATAGAATGGAATATTATTCAATCTTAAAAAGGGAATGTTGACACATGCTATAATATGGATGAACCTTGACGACATTATGCTAAGTGAAATAACCCATTCACAAAAGGACAAATACTGTATGATTTTGCTTATACGAGATACCTAGAGTAGTCAAATTCATAGAGACACAAAGTAGATTGGTGGTTGCCAGGAATGGGAAGAAGGAAAAATGGGTCCTTATTGTTTAATGGGTATGGAGTTTCAGTTTAGGAAGATGAAAACAGCTCTGCAGACAGATGATGGTGATTGCTGAACAACAATGTGAATGTACTTAATGCACTAAATGTAAAAATGGTTAAAATGGTGAATTCTATATTATGTACATTTTATCAGGATTTTAAAAGTTCTTATTCAAATGATTAATTTTCTTATCTTCACATTTACTTAAATACATAAAATGAATAGTATTTATATGCTTAATAAGGATATCTTCAGAAAGTGTTTTCTAATTGTCAAGTTTCAGTAACATTAACTAAGCCCTTATTCTTGAAAACCTTTGAATCTTAAAGATGTTTTCTTCATATATAATTACATGTGAAGAAAAAAACAAAAACAATGTTGGAAAAACACAAAGATATAAGAAATAAAACAAGGCCTCATTTAACATTTTACTCCCAGGAGCAAAAGGCTCATAAATAGATAAATTTCACCTTCCTTCAATACAGATATTTTTAAAATAAAACTTTTTCATTATTACTATAATATAAAATTGTGTTTCCAAGTAATTTTCAAAATCTATGGTAATATTCTCAAGTGTGAGTACTATAAAATAATCTATTAAATTTACAGAATTTCACTATTATGTGCTTGTTTATTTTACAAAATTTCAATTACAGAATACTTTTAAATTCTTAATTAGTTTACAGACATCAATTAAGCACTTTCTGCAATACAGTTAAGGGTTTAAAAAAAAAAGAAAACAACTTAGAAACCACAAAACATCATTCTCTGGGGGGTGGGCTGCTCATGTTATGAAAAAAGGAGGAGGGAAGGGAAGGGAAGGGAAATGAAGGGAAGAGGCAATGTTTGATGGGTCGATGTCTATCCAAACCTTTACCTAACTCCTACAGCTTCCTTTCCCACTCCTAACTTGGCTACAAATACTTTATAAACAACTTTATCTACACCCATCTTAATCTCTGTCATGCCACTCTAAAGGAACAAGTGTTTTTCCACCTTATATAAGATCTCTTCGTAACTTTAGGATATATTTCTACATTTACCATCTCTAGCTCTTTCCCTACATTTTAATAAAGATACTTACATTCCTTCTATTTTAAAAACAAAAATCCCTTTCTTGACCTTGTACATGCATTTTATTATAGCCTTTATAGTCAGTAACCTTGAAAGTATAATCTTGATTCCTTCTCTCTACTTCATCTCCACCTCTCTCATGAGCCCACTCTTACCTCTCTCCATCATGCCACTACTTGTGCTAAGGTCTCAGTTTATAACTGGCAAAACCAAGAGACATTTTTCACACCTCCCTTTAGCATCTGACACAACCACCACAAATCCTCAAAATTTTCTACATTTCCTTCAAAGTTATTACTCTCTTATCTGTAAAATATTCCAGTTTCTATGTTCCTGGTTAAAGAGACTTGTATATTATAAAGAGAAATTTTACAAAAATTTTAATGAAACCAAAAGTATCCCACAGTTTGTGGTAACAAAACATTTAAAAAGTTATTAAATTATACATTTTAAACAAAACCCCAAATATTCTAAATTTGCTCACCTTTTTTTGATGGGGGACGGTGCACAAAGGCAGAGAGAGAGAATCTTAAGCATGCTCCATGCCCAGCAATGAGCCCGAGGCAGGGCTCAATCTCATTACCTCACAACCTTGAGGATCATGACCCGAGCCAAAAGCAAGAGTCAGATGCCCGACCGAACCGGGCACCGGGCTCACCTTCTCTTTGATGAAAAGTAGCTATATTACATTTTCTAGCAAATGCTAGAAAATATTTTCTTCAAGAGAAATATATTTTGACAACAAATATGAAAATGCTTTCTGAAAAAAATGCTTTTTGAAACAGGAACTCATTTATATAAGAAGCATTTTGAAAAAAGTGATTACTGCCAAAAATATATTAATAAATTAGTAAAATTAATAAAATTAAAACACATTAGAATACTTCAAAAAGTTGGAGAACAAATTTTTATCTCTTCTTAAATGTTTCAAAGAATTTCAGTAGGTTTTAAACCTGTTATAAACTTTTTTCATTTCCCTCCTAGCCCCGTTATAAACTTTCAAAAATAAACCTTCCAGTTAATTTGTAGGAGCAAATACCTGACATCAGGAAAGATGGCAATTACTAGATTTCAAGAAGAACCTCTGAACTATTAGTAAACACAACTGAAAAAAATTTTATGTTAGTAAATAAAGCCAATGTTAACATCTCTTCCATTTGGAACCATGTATCTTTATGAGGCATCTTTTCAACTATGAAAGCTAATAAAATCAGGTATTTAAATAACTATACACAATTCCTTTATTACTACATATATTAAATAATTATATTTCACCTATGAGACTGCAAGCTAATTAAAAGTGGAGGCTTGTCTTCATCTTTGTAACCCAGAACTTTGACTAAGACATAGAGCAAATAGTTATGTAATAAATACTGTGAATAACCAAAAATATAAGCACGTACATTAAAATGAAAATATGTACACAGATACATACATACATATATATATGTAATAGTGTAATGTCTGGTTAGGTAAGCAAAATGTTACCTAAAATGGGCTTGACCCAAATCACAATGTTTCCACACCAATTTAATGGTGTTTAATGGCTCAACTTGTAATTATGACTTCCTTTTTTTTTAATTATGACTTTCTTAATTAGCATATGTTCTCCTAAACGAAGATATGAGTTGCCCTATACAATACATGAGAATCTCTGCTTTCAAAGTGAATATCAGTGATAAAAGGAATGAATATATAAAATCAACAAACAGTAAAGCAAAACCAGTAGAAGAACTTCTGTGACAAATCTATGAATTAATGACCCGGCACAAATGAAACAGTCAAAGTATTAAAAATTAGATTTTCAAAATAACAAATTAGAAATAAAACCCAAATAACAGTATATTTATTTTAGGACTCAGTTTATATACACTAATCTCATGAAGAATGTGATGGCTACTTAGCATAATTTTCACCATGGTATAAATTTTCCTTTCATGCTATATTAAACAAAATTTAACAATAAATTATATAATTATTAATATAAATACTTCCCAATAATAAATTACACTCAGTCCTCTATCGTAAAGAAGCCCACATTACAATTTTATTTGAAAAAAATTTAGAAAAATAATATTCTATTAGCATCTTTAATTCTAATTGAATCTTTAAAATAGAAAAATAAAATAAAAGAGAACACAAAAGCTGTTCGCAAAAAACGAATTAGGATCCCATGTATGTGTGTGTATGTGTATTCACTGATATAATAAATTGCTAAAGGTTACAGTAATTACTATACTAACTACATTCAGAGAAAAATTTTACCTTATAAAAGCTGAGGTACAAAATGATTAAGTGAAACTTAAACTGAATTTTATGGATGATATCTACCAATCTTGTGTGCCCAAACGATATCTAGGGTCTTTTTTCTTAAACTGTATAGAAGGCAGTATGGAGCTAAAGAATATAAACTGTACAAAATGGAAGGTATGTTTAAAAAAAAAGTAGTACTTCTGTAGCAAATGGTATCACTATTTTTCTTTTTCAGAAACATTTTACATCCTGGAAAACTTTCTCCCTCATTCTCAAGTTTATAGTTATGTTAATAATGTAAGTGTGATGATATCTAAAAATGTATCCATGTCCTATTGATTGTTCTCTAATAGTGCTTAAGAAGAAAAAAAACAACTATACTACTTAAAAGATCAAATAAATAAATAAAACAAAATGAAATAAAATAAAATTTAAAAAGCCAAATTTAGAAGCCAAACTATCCCACTGATACCTACCTCCTGGAAATGCCATTAGCCAGACATTTATGGCTACAGGATTTGGAGGATAGGGGTGATGAAGTTGGGGACAAGTTGAGAGGGGCAATCAAACTGTTGATGATCTCAGTCAACTGTGCACTCTGCAAAAAAACAATTAACCTTTACTACTGCTAAGCAAGAAATGTGAGTTAGGTCTCACACCTTTAGTGAATGTTTATATTTTAGTAAATATTTTAACCTACAAAGATGATTTATACTACTACTAATTTTTCCACTTATTATAAATAAATCTACATGTTAAAGTACTCCTCCATTTCTATATCCATTTTCATTACAGTTCCTTTATCTACTCATCCTATCCTCTTAAAACATTTGAATTTAGCTAAGAGCATCTACATAATATTTTCTTTAAGGCAGCCAAGTTAATAATAAAATCGTAGCTATAATTTACTACTATGTGCCAGGCACTACACAAAGCACTAAACACAGATTATTTCTAATCTTCATAACCAACCTACAAAGTAGTTAATATTAGAAATACTGGTATTATTATTATTAAAATCAATTACAGCTAAGGAAATTGAAGCAAAAAAAGATTAAGCAGCTTGAATAAGGATTATAAAGTTGGTAAGAAATGGAGCTAGGATTCAGATTCAGGCTTGAATCCAATGCCACACTGTTTCTCAATATTTTTCCTAACTCAAAAATATCAGGTTTGTTTAGGGACTCAAAATTTTCATTGATCCTTATTTCAAACTTAAATATACAAAATATATTTGTAATACATAATAAATATTAAACTTATCAAATTATTCTCAAAACAACCTATAACAATTATAATAAACATAGGCCACATCAGTGGAAACAGTATGTTTCTACAAAAGAATGACAACTATTTTCATTACATACACAATCTATGTTTATTATAGAAAAAAGGGAAAGTACTGAAAGGCTTAAAAAAGGAAAAGAAAGTCACCTGTACTCATATTACACAGAGAAAAACCACTGTTAATATCTTGGTATATATCCATCCCTCTAGACTAAGTTTTTTGAGATGTGAGCATGAGTGTATACAAAATGCATATATACACACACACACACTTCTAACTAAATCATGTCACACCAATTTTCTAAAACCTGGTTTTCTCACTTAATAATGTATGATTTTATTTTTTTAAATATGTAGTACTATTTCACCATTTTTATTAATTGAAAGATAGTCCAATGACGAGCAGTTTTGTTAGAAAAAAGATATTCCAATCCTAGTATAAATGAGTTATCATCCTATGGCTGTGTACCAGTATTTTATATATTTAAATAATCTTAATTATATCAATGTTATAAGACTCATCATATACTACATATTTTAATTGTATTTAATGTCAAATGGCAAACCTTAATAACTAATATCCCAAGTAGACGCACAGGTTTATTTGAATAGTGTATAAAACTGATTAAAAGTCATTTCATGCCACTCACATCTTACTCTTCCACCACATTACCTGTTTTTCTATGTTGCGAAGAAGAAGTGTAGGGCTACTTGGTGACATTTCAAAATCTTGTTCTGGTAAAGGATCTTGACTCTCTTGGGGAATCTGGGGATTCCCTGTAGTATTTAATGAAGCTGCTTGGTCAGCAAATTGTATTTGTTTTTTCAAAATGTCTTTTGGAAGTTGACATTCTTCTAGGATCACTATCCCCTAGGCAAACAGCAATTAAAGAGTTGAAATGAAAACAAATTGACTGCTAAATCAACTTTAATGTTACAATGCACTTGAAACCATGCTTCTTATTATCACCTGGAAATCAGAAAGTACACTTGAAAGTAGAGTCTAACTGTAAAAAATTGGCTGATTTAAAACATGTGTAGCTAAAACAACATCTATGTCTGATGGGTTAGGCTTGTAAAATATTGTCATAAATTGTATATACGCAGTTATTTTTCTTCTTACTGGTTTTAATTATTAGCAGTAAAAGCATGATACATTTAAAATAAAGGCTTATATGCAGAATATGAACATTTCACACTGAAATTTAGAATACTTCCTTATATAATCTTCAGATATTTTGGTCACTAGCATTTCCATTTGAATACTCCCAGTTTCATAAATTAAAATACCAAACTTACAAACATCCAAACAACATTCTGACTTTATACTAAACTGCTTTCAGAGCACTCAGGAGTTCCAGCTCTGTTGCTGCCAGCCAGCAACCATGGGCAGGACTGCACTATTGAGAAGTATTCTCTAGGCCAGTTAAATTGTTGCTTACAAGGTAGATGAGTTAATAATAAAGACACAAGTTTTCAACTGTGATGGGGTATTTTCTCAAATGTAAATAACTAGAGGAAAGAGTAGGGATCTAGCTGCCTGTTCTCCCTACCATTCACACACACACACACACACACACACACACACACACACACTCTCTCTCTCACACTCTCTCTCTCTCTCTCTCTCTCTCTCTCTCTCTCTCTCTCTCTCTCTCTGTCTCTCTCTCTCTCTCTCTCACAACTGGCTTGCTAAATATTCTCCCATATTCCCCAGAGTCTTCACTCCAACTGTTCTTACCGTTATGCCCCTCAAGGGCAATGAAGACAGAAGAGAAAAAAGGAAAAATAATGCACAGATATGATCTTAATAGTTTCATTATCAGTTCTTACAGTAAAACTTTTTTCCCTCCCTACCCCTTCTACCACTTTTCCCCCTGCAAAGAATTATATGCATTTTCATATAATGTATAATGTATATGTGTGTGTGTATATATATATATATGGTTATTTTGCAAAACGTTAATAAGCTCCTAATAGGCTAGTTGGAAAGGTATTAAATACCTATGTGGCTAAAATACTATATTCTTGTAATGAAAAATAGAATGTTTTAGTCTATTTTTCATTACAAGTGTAGAGTATTTTAAGATGGGACAAATTTAAAAACTGGTATGGGCCAGCTTATATCATATACAAGTGCTATTTACAGGATGGAAACTGCCTATAAATTATAATGTTATAGATGAGTAGTTTGTTCTTAAGATTTTATTTACTTATTTGACAGAGAGCAAGACAGCGAGAGAGGAACACAAGCAGGAGGAGTGGGAGAGGGAGAAGCAGGCTTCCCGCCAAGCAGGGGGCCCAATGCAGGGCTCGATCCCAGGACCCTGGGATCATGACCTGAGCCGAAGGCAGATGCTTAACGACTAAGCCACCCAGGTGCCCCTAGATGAGTAGTTTTAATTTACACTATAATTTAGAGAATATATCACTTTAGCATGAACATATTCAGGTATGGCATCAAACACACATTATTATTTTGTAGTAATATATTACCACCGATGTGTGGTAAAAGTAACAAAAAAGTTATTGTTGTTATAATTTTAACCTTCACTTATAACTGTGCTAGTAACTTTTACAAAAAGAAGGAGATCCAACTGTTGATTCCATCTCAATGACTATTTTCCTAGAATGCACAAATATGGCTGTCAGGAAATCTAAAGAAATATATTTTTAAAAAAATTTTGTTTCATTTGATATTTTAAAACTTAAAGTAGACTTGGGGCATCTGGGTGGCGTAGTCGTTAAGCGTACGACTCTTGGTTTCGGCTCAGGTCATGCTCTCAGGGTTATGAGATCAAGTCCCATGTCCGGCTCTGCTTAAGACTCTTTCTTCTTCTCCCTCTGCCCCTCCCACCTATGCTCTCTCTCTATCAAATAAATATTTTTAAAAAGTTAAAGTAGACTTGATGGATATAATATCATCAATCTCAAAAGCTCTTGGAAGTATCTGAAATGTCCATTCAAAATGTGTACAAGTATCTCACTAGACTTTTCAACAGTATCTGCTTGCAAAATAAATACAAGTTTTCATCATATCAATTTAGCTATAATTCCATTTGGTTTGATTATTTTATTTTATGGGCCAGGCTGCTATGAATTCAGCCTGGTTTCATAACCCTTCCTAATAATCTTGTACATACCAAAAAACTGATTCTGAATTTCAAAAGGTCAATTTTCAAACCTTTAGACTACTATCTTTTTTAGAAGTAGGAGGCCTGCTACAGTTAGTTCAATGAAAAGTAATATTTTAAAAATTGAACCAGGAAGACAATCATAATCAAGTTCATAATCTATTTTTTTTCTCCTTAAACTCTCACAAATGGCCAAGAATAGAGTAAAAAGGGAAAAAGATTAAACCCTTTAAAGACACTACAGAGACAGTTTCAGTTCTTAAAAATCAAGAAAAGAATATATGTGTGTTGGGTCACCATGATGTACACTTAAACATCTTACAATTTTGTCAGTCATACCTGAATAAAGCTGAATTAAAAAAAAAAAAACTCAGGAAGAATAGCCTATTCATAGATAAACAAGGTAAATAACAAAGACATGAAAATTTTTTAGTAAGATGAGTTTCAATAACTGAGACAAATGAAAACTCTAGCATAAGATGAAAGCAAGTCAACTGCTCCAGAGAAGACAACTGTTCCTGATAATAACACTAAAGAGATCCTTACCCCACTCCCAGGGTCCTCACAGAGAAGACACAGCATAAAAAAATAAACAATTACCTCAGCAACACCTTCAGTATTTATATAAAGTCACCAAAGCTAATTTTTTTAAAAAATTTAAATGCAAGACGCCTGGGTGGCTCAGTCAGTTAAGAGTCTGCCTTTGGGGCGCCTGGGTGGCTCAGGTGGTTAAGCGACTGCCTTCGGCTCAGGTCATGATCCTGGAGTCCCGGGATCGAGTCCCGCATCGGGCTTCCTGCTCGGCGGGGAGCCTGCTTCTCCCTCTGACCCTCCCAGCTCTCATGTGCTCTCTCTCTCTCCCTCTCATTCTCACTCTCTCAAAATAAATAAATAAATCTTAAAAAAAAAAAAAAAGAGTCTGCCTTTGGCTCAGGTCATGATGCAAGGGTCCTGGAACAGGCTCCTTGCTCAGTGGGGAGCCTGCTTCTCCTTCTGCCTGCCACTACCCCCCACCCCTGCTTGTGCTCATACACTCCCTCTCTCTCTCTGGTAAATAAATAAAATCTTTTTTAAAAAAGAATCAAATCGGGGCGCCTGGGTGGCTCAGTTGGTTAAGCGACTGCCTTCGGCTCAGGTCATGATCCTGGAGTCCCGGGATCGAGTCCCATGTCGGGCTCCCTGCTCTGTGGAGAGTCTGCTTCTCCCTCTGACCCTCTTCCCTCTCGTGCTGTCTATCTCTCTCATTCTCTCTCTCAAATAAATAAAATCTTTAAAAAAAAAAATTAAAAATAAATAAATAAATAAATAAAAAAGAATCAAATCTTAAATTTTAAATGCACAAAATTACAATTTGAAATGTAGAAGACCCTATCACAAGGTAACAAAAGAAATCTAAAAGAGAAACCATTTAATATAGGATAGCCAGCTTCTCAACCAAAAACAACTATTTTAATATTTTTCTGAAAGTGACAAGAGGCTATATTTTCTTAGTGAAAACTGAAGCAAAGAAAAGGAGAAACATCGAAGTTGTAATGTGTTGGCAAAGCGTTGGAAGAACAAGGAAGGAATGTTGTTAACATGGGTTTTCTTTTCTCTAAAAATTTTAGCAAAAGTTAGACGACCCCAATATGTCATAGAAGGAGCAAATGACAGCTTAAAAAAACCCAAAACGTGTAGATCTACTAGTAGATCGACTCAGTGTTTCCTGACCAGTGTTACCAAGTAGCACTTATTTAAACAGGATATTTACAAAAGAACATCTCTCAACCTCTTTCCCTTTCCCGTATCTCTAATTTAACTGAGAAGAAAGGATTTTTTTTTTTAACTTTCAAGATAAGTTAAATAGAAAGGTCATTCAAGATAACATTAACTACACTTCTCAATTTTTTAATTACAATAACTCAAGAAGCTAGAAGAGAAAAGAAAGTGCTATTTTCTCTCTTCGGTATAGTAGTTCAACTAAACTGCACATAAATAAGCAATTAAACATCGTGATTAATTCCCAAGAAATGTAAGGAGAAACTACTAAAATAAAGAAATACTGTAATGACATTTTCCATAAAGTAAACATAATGTGATTCTTAAGAAAACAGAGGTCCAGATACACATCTAGCCTGAACCAAGAAAAATGTAAGGCCATATAAATTATTACTGGGAAGTTTAGATTTCTTTCCTAAAAATAATTTATTCCCCAGATGTTATATAAACATACAAAATTTTTAAAATGTTTTAAAAAAGTATATCGCAGTGTTTAGAACACACAAGTCATAAAATACAAAGCAGACTGTGTAGATTCAAGTATAAAACTTAGTCATCAATTTAACTAGGAATCCACTTTCCTGGAAATTTCCAAATTGTTTTAAACTTGACTTGTTTTGAGAAGTCTACTATTAAAAATGCTGTGATATTATATCCTTTAAAGTAAATGATCAGAGAGGAGAAATTACCTGGTGATCCTGAAAGAACTAGGAAATCACTACAACTAAAGGCTTCACTAAAGACAGTTAAAAATGAGAAACAGTAACTACTTCCATCAGGAAATTATTCTTGAACAGAGTTCCCTCAAATCCAACAGACAGAACAGGTAAACCTAAGGTTTTATGTCTATCCTTCTATCCACCTTCCTACAGACATCACCACCAAATTCTACAATTCATTCCTTCCTAGTTTCCTCTCCCCATCCTTACAAAACTCATACTTTCCACTCCTTTGCATACCATTCTACTTTGTCATTCCCAAAACATATTATGTTGTTTCATGTCTTCAAACCTTCAAGGAATGCCCTTTTCCAGTTCCATTGGTTCATCAACAAACTATTATTTATCTTCCAAAATTATACTGAGGCATCACCTCTTTTACTGATGTCTTCTCTGACCTGCTAACCCCTAAAATAAGTTATGTATTCTCTCTATGCCACTTCTATATCTTATTAAAAACATGTTATCATTGCACCTATTTCATTATATTACAATTAATAATTTACATGGTCTATCTCCCCTACCAGAATATAAACTCATGACTGTGCCTAAAACTTATCTTTATTTATGTGCAGATCCTAGGTAATGTTGGGCTAACCACATGGATAACCATATGATTATGAACTCTGATTCCTTTCCTTCTCAGCTTTTTCTTTTCAGACCAATCACCATCAACCTTAGAATATTATCTCCATTATGTCCAGTTTCATGATGTAGAATATACTTTTTCATAAAAACAGTTACAAAAAGATCTTTAGCAATATTTAAATTAAATAGTATTTCATGGGATTGTAATGAGAACTCTTTATAGTATTGCTTCAAAAGGAAAATGTACTTTGAGTTCCAAGCAAACAGCCTATAATTTGGGGGAAACAGTATGTCTTTAACCTAGGAAAATCCCATGTTAAATTTCCGGTTTAATTCTGGTTGGAATTAAAACAATATTTATTTGTGTAATCATTTGCTTACTTTCACTCCCATTTGACTTAAGCCCTAAAAATGTAGCAACTCTGTGGGTTTTGTTCACCACTGTATACCTTAAGCACATATTATGCTAACAACTATATGTGAAAGGAAAAATGGGAAAGAGTGAAGGAAAGGAGGAGGGAAGGCAGAAAATAAGACAGGAACGAGAGATAAATGAATTTTATTTAAAAACTGCTACAATATAATAACATAACTTTTTAACTGCCATTTCTACTGAATAATTCCAAACCTCTACCTTCCTATAAACCTGCCTTCTCCAAAAACTCTTACTTTCAAATTTTTAGAGCATCTCAATATGAGTATCTGATAGAACTTTTAAGTCAGTGTGTGAGAAAGCTTATTTTTATCAACTTTCCTATAAAATAAGCACTTTTTTCCTTCTATAGAAACAGCAGGTAAATAAGAAGAGAGATAGTGGTGATGTTTACACAACCATATATTTGTCAAAATTCAGTGAATTGCTAAAAATACGTCTTCTGAGAACAAGATAAAATAAAGATAAATCCATAATTAGACCTATTAGTAAAAAAATGTAGAACATCAAATAAACAAAAATAATTTTTTAAGTTACCAGATAGAAAAGACAAAGTACTTACAAAGGGAAAGCAATTCTACTGACAGTAGACTGCTCATCAGTATTAAACAAAACAATGAAATAGGATCTTTAAAAGGCAAAATAACCATCAAATTAGAATTTTATATTGACCTAAAGTATCACTGAAGAGTGAGGGTAAAATAAAGGTATTTTGAGACATAAACTACTAAAAAATGTATTTCAGCAAAATGTAAACCAAGAGAGAAAAGGTAGTGTAGAGGAGACTGCAAACTTCCCAATACCCACTTTCCTCTTCTTTTTACAACAAAACTCCACTCCTACTGGAGTTCTAGCTATGCATACAACTCCTCATTGTAAGGCTGTATTATTCACCTCTCCTTCCTGCAGATATGTGCCTAAATTTAGGTCAATGAGTGTGACACAAAGTAGTACAATTTCCAAGTCACCTCCCATCCCACCTAAAGACAAACTATGTTACACTTTTCTCCCTTTCCCAGGGGCCGGAATGAGGGAATGACTACAACCCTGTTTAATAGTGCAGTCAACAATTACCCTAGAGGACAACAAAGCAGCAGAAGAGAAAAAAACAAGTTGCTCCACCAGCCTGTATTCACTCCCTCACTTTTGAAGTGTTATGTACCTTAATAAAGTGGGCAATATTTGGGAGTTTCTTTGTTATAGCAGTTTAACCTGTAAACTAACTTTATAGGTAGAACACAAGAACAGTAAGCACATTTTTTTTTAAAGATTTTATATATTTATTTGAGAAAGAGAGAACGAGCGGTGGGGAGGGAAAGAGGGGGAGAGAGAGAGAGAGAGAGAGAGAGAAGCAGACTCCCTGCTGAGCAGGGAGCCTGGATGCAGGGCTAGATCCCAGGACCCCAGGATCAAGACCTGAGCCAAAGGAAGATGTATGACTGAGCCACCCAGGCGTCCCAGTAAGCACATTTTTAATAAAATTAGTTAGAAATATAATTATTGACTATAAAAAAAGGAACTAGATTGTAGTAGATCTATTCAATGAGTAGTTAGAAAGTATTAGAATCCATGTTTTAAGTAAAAAAGAGTATAGAAATACTGAGTACTTTTTAGTCATTGTTAGGATTACTTTTAATTAAGAAGTATATTAAAAGTTAGGAGTAACAAAGAATAAAACTATAATGAATAGCTACTAAACCAGCAGAGGGAAAAGAACGAAGCAAATTCTACCAATCCAACAAGAGAGGTAAAAAAACAAGACTTATGGGGTGTCTGGGCGGCTCAGTTTGTTAAGCATCTGACTTCAGCTCAGGTCACAATCCCAGGGTCCTGGGACTGAGCCCCACATCGGGCTCCCTGCTCAGCGGGGAGCCTGCTTCTCCCTCCCCCTCTGCCGCTCCCCGTTTGTGCTCTCTCTGTCAAATAAATAAATAAAATCTTAAAAAAAAAAAGACATAAATACAAAGAGAGGAGAATAAGGGCAAATAAAAAATAATCAGAGGTGATTTTTTAATCTAGCTATTTAGTTTATAAAAAGAAATACCTAGAATAAAAAATTTTTATCTATTAAAGAGCAATCCTTCAAAAAGTAATTAGCAAAAACTAACAGAATTACCAGAAAAAAACTGAAAAATTCACGATGGGGGAAATTTTAACAAATGTATATCATAAATGGAAAGATCTAGAGGTATAAACATATAACAGATATATATAATAAAGTCAACAAATCTAATAAACAAAGAATTCTATACTGAACACATAAAGAACATGCATTCTTTTCTGTTACATATACTAAAATAATGAAAAGGCAAGCTACAACATGAGAGATTTGTAACATTTATAACTAACCAAGAATAGTCTCCAAAATTTAAAAAGAATTCACAGACACACATCTCCACCAGCCATAGCCTTTTCCCCACCCCACCAAAAACAGTGAATACAAAAGGTAGTTAATTCTTAGGCAAAAAACATTTGGTGATCAATTATGCTGAGGCCCAATTCTCAATACTAAGGAACAATTAAATTAAAACAATAATAAAATAATACTTCATACTCATTACACTGGAAAATTAAAAGGTCAAAAATTATGAAATGTTGGCAAGAATGTGGAAAAACAGGAGTTCTCATGCACTGCCAATGGGAATATTAACTATCCAATCACATCAGTAAGTATAGGAAAGCTGAAGACAGCCAGGCCTAAGATCCATCATTTCCACTTTTAGGCATATACCAAGAACCCTCCATGGGGCGCCTGCCTGGCTTAGTGGGTAGAGCAAACAACTCTTGATCTCAGGGTCATGAGTTCAGGCCCCACGTGGGGCATGGAGCCTATTTATTTAAAAAAAAATTATACTCCAATTAAAAAAAAATAATCTCCACAGTTCACAAAGAAACACAAAAAAGATAGTCATTACAGTTTTGTTTTTACTAGCATAAAACTAAACAGTGTATGTCTACCAGTAGAAAAGAGAAGAGATAAACATTGCATTGTATTCATACAATGAATAACTCATTCATACAATTAAATAACATACAGGACCTATAAAATTTATGCTGAGCAAAAACAAGGAAGTAACAAAAGAGTTTGTAGTATATATGTCATTAATACAGACTGTAAAATCATGGAAAAATAAATACTAGTTGTAGACACAGACAGACATCTATCTATGTGCCAAGAGTATAAAAACATACATAAATATAATAAATATCAAAACATGCTAGAATCAAAATAGTGGCTACAGTGGCATGCAGAAAGAGAATGGGATCAGGAAGGATTATATAAGTGCCTCAACTGTACAGATAATGCTTTATTACTCTAAAACGTAAACCCAAATAGTAAAAATTTAACACTTGATAAATTTGGAGGTGGAAACAAAGGTGTTCATTATATTGCTTTCTAGAGCTTTTTATGTGTTTATAATTTTTCTTAAAACAAAACCTCTAAGGGGATTCAATAAAATACACTCAGAATTTCTCACATATGTTAAAATAAATGCCATCGAAGTAGAAGTTTATAAAAGGGTACCTAATTTCTATTAATTGGAATCCAATGAAGAAGCTCTGAACTCAAGTATGATAAAATGACCATAATAAATACAAAGACATTACAATGACAGCTTCAATTTACAGCAATTGATATATAAAAAATGTTAATATTAACTACATTTTTATAAAGCCTTGTAACAATTACTTTGTGTGGAGAGATGAGAAACTAAAACTGTAATAATTTTTTAAAAAATACAAGAATACAAACAATACCTTGGATGCACGAATCTGCCTGTGAACATCCGTTAGTTGTTGGATTTTGTATTCGAGCTCTGAAATCTGGGCTTGAAGCCACGTCCATCTGCTGCCAACTCTAGCTCTGTCTACAAGCCACTTCCATTCAGTACTACAGTCACTGTGAACGAGACAAACATTGTTAGTCAAAGAACAAAGGCAATCAAGTTTTCACAGACTACTTAATAAATTCCTTGACTCCTGTCATATAATCCTAATTCCTTTATACAACATCTAATTATATGAAAGAAGAATCTGATATCAACTCTTATCAAAGAAGAACATTTAACTTCCTTATCTTTCTAACGGATAAACACTTGTTTTTATTGTTACGTATCCAGTAATAATCTCCTCTGCTACTTAACATTTTATTAATATGTACAAGGGCTGAAATAGGAGTGGGCCAGCAAAGAAACAGGAATGATACTACTAACTCCACGTAAAAACTGTTACATGAAGCTTCTATATGTAAGAAGTATTGGGTAAGTCATTTGAACTGTGCTAGATCTAAATCTATGTAATAAACCAGAATACTCAATTTTATTATATGCAAATTTTCATTTGTTAAAACAGTAGTCACTGTTAGCTAATTAAATCCCTAAAATCAATTTAAAAATATTGTCAAAAAATATCGAAAATATGAGTGCTCTACCTTTCAAAGAAGTATACCAAATGTATGTCTTGAAATGTTTATTAAGATAAACAGCTTGTTAAAACCTGATTTCCAGGGGCGCCTGGGTGGCTCAGTTTGTTACAAGTCTGCCTTCGGCTCAGGTAGTAATCCTGGAATCCTGGGATCAAGCCCCGCATCGGGCTCCTGATCATCGGGGAGCCAGCCTGTCCCTCTGCCTTGCTCGTGCTCTCTCTCCCTCTCTCTCAAATAAATAAATAAAATCTTCAAAAAAAAAAGGGGAGGTGATGCCTGGGTGGCTCAGTCGTTAAGCGTCTAGAGCCTTTGGCTCAGATCAAGATCCCAGGGTCCTGGGGTCGAGTCCCACATAGGGAATCCTTGCTCAGCAGGGAGTCTGCTTCTCCTTCTGCCTGCCACTCCCCCTGCTTGTGCTCTCTCTCTCTGACAAGTTAAAAAATAATAATAAAAAAAAAAATTTAAAAAAAAACCTGATTCCCAGGATTCACAGCCCAAAGATAGAAAGAATTTATATAAAGACTTTTCTGTCATGCATATTTGAAAATAAGGGTTGAACCCTACTCCTCTATCTTTTGGCAAGGGTACCACTCTAATCCATAGTTTGTGAGATTACCAATTAATTACTTTATGAAAATACTCTAACCATTCCAACTAGAAAACAGTTATTTGGAATAACTAATTAAGAGCTTCAGATTACAAAAGAAAACATGACAGAAACTGAAGGTATAAATGAAAACCAATAAATACTTAATGGCAGAACACAAACTTTATGAAAAACTTGTCTAAAAATTACATTTACTGTCAAAACCCATAGAATGTACAACACCAAGAGTGAATCCTCACCTAAAGCATGCACTTTAAGTGATAACAATTTGTCAGTGTAGGTTCATAGATTGTTACAAATGCACTACTCTAGTATGCAGTATATTGATAGTGGGGGAGGTTCTATCAGTGAAGGGGGTATATGGGAACTCTGCATTTTCTGCTTAATTTTGCTATGAACCTAAAACTGTTCTTAATAAAAAGTTTATTAATTTTACACATTTAACCATAATTGAATGTCTCCCATACAAACTTTAGCTAGAGAAAACTTATCCTAAAAGGTAATTTACTGGGGTGCCTGGCTGGCTCAGTTGATAAAGCATGTGATTCTTGATCTTGAGGTTGTGAGTTTGAGCCCCACATTGGGTGTGGAGATTACTTAAAAATATTGTTTTTTAAATAAAATAAATAAAAATAAAAAAATAAAAGATCATTTGTTGTGATGAGCACTGGCTATTGTGCTGAATCACTAAACTGCACATCTGAAATAACTAATACACTGTATGTTAACTAACTGGAATTTAAATAAAAACTTACAAAAATAAAATAAAAGATCACTTGTTAGAGAAACAGAATAAATTACTATAACTTTACTATATAGAATATATTCATTGTAATAGGATTTTACATTAAATCAATGTCCCTAAGAGCTATTTTTGTTTGTTTGTTTGTTTTAATATATTATTTATCCATTTGAGAGAGCATGAGCAGGGTGGGGGGCAGAAGAGGGAGAGGGAGAAGCAGACTACCTGAGCAGGGAGCCCCATGTGGGACTTGATCCCAGGACCCTAGGATCATGATCCGAGGTGAAGGCAGACGCATAACCAACCGAGCCACCCAGGTACCCCAAGAGATACTTTTGTTAAGATTCTAATTGCACACAATATGATTGAGGAGACCTTCATACAAGTTAAGAATTCTCTTAGTATTACTATGTATTCAGTTTATAGTCATTATTGTGCTTTTTAAATTTGACACAGTTTTAAATCATATTTTCATAGTTATGAAAATGATAGAAGAGAATGTCTATTCAAAATAATATTAAAATGGAGGGGCACCTGGCCAGCTCAGTCAGAGGAGCATGCAACTCTTGATCTCAGGTTTTGAGTTCAAGGTGCACGATGGGTGTAGAGATTACATAAATAAACTTCAAAAAAATAATATGAGCTCTTCCCTTCTGTGGCCACTGTTGAAGTGCCAGCAGCCAAAATGAAGTTCAATCCCTTTGTGACTTCTGACAGGACCAAGAGGCATTTCAATGCATCTTCCCACATTTGCAGGAAGATTATGTCTTCCCCTCTTCCCAAAACGCTGAGACAGAAATACAATATTTGATCCATGCCCACCCAAAAGGATGAAGTAAAGGCTGTGTGAGGACACTACAAAGGTCAGCAAATGGGCAAAGTAGTCCAGGTTTACAGGAAGAAATATGTCATCTACATTGAATAAGTATAACAAGAAGGCAAACGGCACAACTGTCCAAGTGGGCACTCACCCTAGCAAGGTGGTTATCACTAAACTAAAACTGGACAAAGACTACAAAAAGATCCTTGAACGTACAGCCAAATCTCACCAAGTAGGAAAGGAAAAGGGCAAATACAAGGAAGAAACAATTGAGAAGATGCAGGAATAAAGTAATCTTATATACAACTTTAAATAAAAACTGTTAAGTGGCTGGGTGGCTCAGCTGGTGAAGCATCTGCTTTCGGCTCAGGTCATGATCCCAGGGTCCTAGGATCAAGCCCTGTGTTGGGCTCCCTGCTCAGCAACGGGTCTGCTTCTCCTGCTCCCTCTGCCCCCACTCACCCCTGTGCACGCATTCTCTCTCTCAAATAAATAAAAACTTTAAATAAAGAAATAAATACTGTTAAAATGAAAAAATATTAAAATAGTAATATCCATTCTTCGTAGATAATATTTAATAACACTAACTGCCAATCATGAAATTAGTGATAAAGGCAAGGGCCATGGCACATAGCAGTTGTACAGGTTAATGGTAAAGTGTTGGATTTTATGCAAAAAGGAAGTCTTTATTTTATTTTTTTAAAGATTCCATTCATTTATTTCATAGAGAGAGAGAGAGCATAAGTAGGGGGAGCGGCAGGCAGGCAGAGGGAGAGGGAGAAGCAGGCTCCCTGCTGAGCAAGGAGCCCGACTGGGGGCTCGATCCCAGGACCCCGGGATCAGGACCTGAGCCGAAGGCAGCCGCCCAACCAAATGAGCCACCCAGGTGTCCCAAAAAGGAAGTTATTATCAAGACATTAACAAAAATTTTTTTCCCAAGCACTCTGGCTACTAGGTAGAGAAAGCATTATAGTGGGATATAAGAAGAAATAAGGAAATCAATTAGGATGCAAACAGAGTAATCTGTGTGTGGTACAGATAACTGTGATCTCCAAATATGTCATGTGCTATCCTGTATTTCCCAGCCTTCCTTGCACTGAGGTTGGAGCTATGTGACTAATTCTGACCAATGGGTTGTGAGCAAAAGTGACCTAGTCATTTCCAGTCCATCAGACAACCTGCAAAGCCACTAGTGCAGACAGTGTAGCTACAAGATGTGTGGGGATCACAGCCCAAACCACACTGGCTTTTATGTAAGCCACAGCAAACCTTGGCTCGTTAAACCACTGAGATTAGAAGGTTAATTTGTTACTCTAGAGCCCAATCTGACTAAAACGCTGAATAAGAAAAAATGAAAATGGCACGAACTGAGAAGGGAGGGTAAGTTAAAGAAGAGATGAAGATAAGAGGATGGGTTCAAGGTTCACTTTAAAGCTGAAAGGACTTGGCAGAAGTATGGTGTGGGAATAAGTATGGGGAAATCAAAGATGATCTTAAACATTCTTTCATTAAATTCTGTTCCAGTTGAAAACTTGCCCTATAATATGCAATTTTGCTTGATGGTCAAACCTCATGATTAGCTAAAAAACAAAACAAAAAAAAGTTATGGAGCTCATCTTATTGTACTTCTAGTAAAAATATTCTGATAGTGAAATTGTCCACAAAAATGATTTTCATGTTCATATAGTACATTAAATTATACTATCACAGGGAAAAAAAGTAATATCAGATTAGATTTAAATAAACTAAGTAATCCGAGGGCTTTGTAATATTTGAAATGAATTTTCTGTAAAGGATACCTTATCCTATATTTTAATAGGACTGAATAAAATCTGTTTGCATATTCTGTCAGTCCACATCCTTGCTTGTTTGTAGTCACCACTTAACTTGCTGAATAAAGTAAGTACAGGCTATTTAGATCAAGTGGTTAATTTTAAGCACAATTTCTTTTGATACTAACTTCTGGTCAACATCATGAACCTACATCCCTGCTTTAACCCTGAAATACAGTTCCCAAAATAAGATAGAGCTTTCTAATATTACATCTTAAAACACCAAGATTAAAGAGATATATTAATTTTGCCTTTAATATAAAGATTAACTTACTAGTAATAATGAATCAACTATTATAAAAAAAATCAAAAAAGAAGATCCACTTGTGAAAAATGACAATCCCAAGGAAAGCCCAAGAAAAATATAAGGTTTGGGTGTGCCTGGGTGGCTCAGGTATGGTCCCAGGGTCCTGGGATGGAGCACTGCATCAGGCTCCCTGCTCAGCGGGGAGCCTGCTTCTCCCTCTCCCACTC